CCCCAAAACCCCAAAACCCCAAAACCCCAAAACCCCTTCAATTAAAAATTCTATTGAAAATCAAATAATAACTTTTATATCTCTTTAGCCTTTTACAGTCTTTAGCTAAGATCCAAAGCTCTGCCAAGTTCACCCTTGTCAATTCTATTATCTCCGTTTCTATCCAAATGGGCAAGAAGGTCATCAACCTCATATTTCTTCAGACTGTCACAGTACATACCGACGAATTCCTTATAATCCTCTTTATTCCAGTATCCCTTGTCCTTAGAGTCAATTTCACTAAAGAGCTTGTCAAGGTTACTGCCAATCCCCTTGACTATTTTCCTGATTTTCTGGAAGATACATTCCATGTGGATATCATGTAAGGCTGTTGAGAACTCCTTATAAGTAATCTCTCCACTTTCGTTAGCATCAACATAATAGAACAATGCTTTAGCTTCTATGTCAGTCACATCGATCTTAACGTTCTTAATCTTGGTTGTGAATTCAGCGAGATCTAGGCGGTTGTCTCCGTCCTTATCAATAAACTCATAAACTCCCTTAAGAGAAACTTCTTCGTTAATAACAAAGTCTCTGATCTTATTCTTGATTCTTTCAAGGTCTTCTTGGTTATACCTCTTGATCTTCTCGATCTCTTCTTCCTTAAGCTCTAGCTGTGGCTTTGAGTCTTTCTTTTCCTCCTTTTCATCTCTTCTATCTCTTCTGCTGCTCTTGTGACTTCTGTCGCTCTTGTGGCTCCTACCGGTTCTGTGAGACTCTGGTTTGGTTTCCCTCCTGCTCTTCTCAGTGGCTCTTCTGAAGTCATCTTCGCTATCGTCTTCACTGTCTCTGCGGCCTCTGAGTTCTTTTTGTCTGATTCTATTTTCGTTAGTTGCTCTTCTGAAAGGACCTTTCATAATCTGAAGGAATTGCTCTTTAGTCATATATCCTCTTCTTTGGAAAGGCTCACATTCTTTGATGAAAGACTCTATTTCACTTTCTGTGACGCCTGATTTCCTAGGCACTATTGTGTCACGGAAATTTCTTCTGGAGATATCGTTCTCTCCTTTACTAAAGATTGCATATAAGTTGTTCAAGTCCATGTTTGGCTTCGCAGCGTAACGTAAGCATACTTTGAATAAGAATTCTGAAGTCCAATCGTTATTCTTGTACTGCACGCTTTGGGCAAATGGAGCGTTGATGTCTTCCAGACTGTTATGTAGAGTTATTTTTACCTCCATCATTCCGTTCACATTGCCATTGTAGTCCTTAATAGCGAACTTGTCGTATAGGTTATTCCCTTGAGCTACTTCGAACAAAGGAATGTAAGCAACTCCGATCATATCGTCGATACTGTTTTCCTCATCATGGACGGAAGGCTTGATCGCATCATCAAATACATGGATCTCAAATCTCTTCTCTTCAGTATAATTCTTGAATTTGTTATCGACCTCTGTTGTGAAGGTTTTGATCTCATTCATCTCCGGGTTCTGGCCTTCATAAATCTTTGAAAATACTTCATCAAATTTGTAGAAAATATAGTGGAAGAAAGGCTTCATTCTCTTTTGGTTTCTATTGTTTCTCGAAACCAGATCTTCACAGCCAACTACATTGATAGAAATTACCTTAGTAGAGAGATATTGCTGAGTTACCTTCTTTGATCTTTGGATTGTGTTAAGGTTATTTTTCTCTCTGTACCATTTCAAGGCTTCATTGAGAGGTTGTCTCATCCTCATCTTATACTTGATAACTCCAATATTTATCGAAGGGTCAACTCAGCTATTGATATGGATGATTCCTGTCACAACTGGGGTCTTCATGCCTTGTAGTGTATCATAATCTCTTTCGACCAATTCTCTTAGGACAATATTAGCAAAACCGATCTTTTCGACCTTCTGAGCTTTACTCTTAAATATCTCTACTTTGATTCTATTAAGTTGTAAGAATTCAATATAGTAATTGTCAACCTTGTTCTTGAATGAGAACAGAGTCAGGTACTCTGGCTCAAGACCATTAGTCAGTACAGTTGCTTTCACATCATGATCATAGAACTCCACAGTAGCAAAGCTGAGGAATGCTTTCTCTGAGAGAATATCAGATTCTACAACCTGGCTTAGAGAATGAGTGTAGTACTCAGCCTTATCCAGTGCTAAATCGAGCATGTTCTCTCCTGGTTTGATGTCAGTCTCGCCAGTGATGAGGGAGAAGTCAGTGTCAGCATCAAGTTTACTATAATCTTTAGCTTCAGCTTCTTCTTTAGGGTCATATCCTTTTTGGTATTGGCTCCTCATTTCAGAAGTCATTTTCTTCAAATTATTGATTTCATCCATTCTTTGATCTGCAATCTTTCTGGATTCCTCTAGTCTCAAAGTAAGTTCTTTGATCCTTGCATTATGTTCAGCTAATTCAGCCTTGTAATACTCTTTGTTCTCTCTTTCAAGATCATATTGGAGCTGTAGAAGTTGTTGTGCTTTCTCTAATGAAGCTGCAAGTTCTCTCTTGTCATGCCTCATTAACTCCACTGTCTTTTCAAAGGATTTTGGATCATCAGGATTTATATCAATGCCCACTCCCATTTGTTCAAGGAAGTCTATCTTTGCCCAGATAGGTTCTGTTCCATCATGATTAACTTGATCCATAGTAGCTCTGAATACAGAAGGATCCATGGTGAGTAAAGCCTTTTTCATGTCTTCCAAATCGACTGGGGTTCCATCTTTGCCGAAGCGATAGCCAATCCCTGAGACTTTGGAGTGGTGTTGCTCATCACTCATCTTATTATAGTCAGTTTTGAGTTTATCAAGTTCTTCATTTCTTTCATTTTCTTTTTCTTTATAGAATTCTAGTTCTTTTTGAAGTTTATCATTCTCAGTCTCAAGATCGAGCATTTTTTGTCCATATTCATTACCAGCCTCTCTTCTAAAGAACGGATCAGTAAGAAGAGATGTAAGCTTTCTTTCTAATTCATTTTTCTCATTATGAAGATCCTGAATATGCTTCCTGTGGTCATCAGCTGATCCTTGGTTGCTCTGGAGGGTGATCACTTGAGTCTTAAGCACCTGGTTATCAGCTTTCAGTTCTTCAAGTTTGGAGCTATCTTTTTGTTTATAATTCAAATCTCCCTTTAGTCTATGAAGCTCTTTGTCTCTGTCATCAACATTTTCAGCCAAATCATGGATTTGATCTTTGAGTTCACGTTTTTCATTTCTTAGTTTCTCAACTTGTTTTTGAAGGGTCTCAGTGATAGAAGCTTGAGTTTCTAAGCTCTCTTTGAGTTTAGTAATAGCCAGATCTTTATCTTTAACTAAATTTGGATTTCCAATATCATCATTGAGCCTCCTAGCTGATTTTCTAAACGAACTTGCAGGTCTCTTGCCACCCTTTGAAGCACCTTTACGCTTAGGAGGTCTATAAGCACTTGATCCTGAGACATATCCTCTAGTATTGCCCATTCCTGGCTTCGTATAGCCATTTCTGATCATTTCAGCCATACGAGCCTTGAGACCTTTAATAATACTCCTCAATTTATCATTGTCAAGACTAAGTTCTGTATTGGTATCAATTATTTCATCTATTTGTTTCCCGAAGCCTATTCCAAAATTCCCTCCGTTAAGCTTCCTTTCCCTTGCGATCATTTCCTTGATTCTCTGGAGCCTAGTGCCAGTTTTGACAAGTTCTCCATCAAGCAGGGCTTGGTGGGTTTTTAGCTTAATGTTCTCATCAAGTAAGTTATAGAATCTTTCCGCTCTTTCCTCTTTAGATAGGTTTTTAACCCCCCTCACGTTCTTGTTGTCCTTACCAGGAGTTCCATGTTTCTCAGCGATTTTCTTGCCTTTATCAGTCTCTTTCATGAAATAATCCTCCATGGCATCCAGATCGGGGTCGCCTCCTCTCCTAGAGAGGTCAGTCTCCCCTCTTAAGTCAGAGTTCATGGCCATTTAATTTAAATTTAAATAAATTCATTTTGAGAAAGTTTATTTGGGGTTTTGGGGTTTTGGGGTTTTGGGGTTTTGGGGTTTTGGGGTTTTGGGG